ACCAAAGTGATTTGAAGTAATGTTTATTTATTATAAATAAATATTAATATCAGAATTAACAGATCACAGTGGGCTGATCGGTTGTGATGCGATTACGCCATCCATTCAAACTCGGCAAAAGACAAGGTGTACGAGAGCGGTCTTCAGTGTCTCTGAGTCCAGACATTCCCCAGCAGTCGTCGTTGCCTTGGGACCTTCGATGAGGCAACGATGAATCCAAGCACATATCGTCCAGGCTCCACGTGATGCCTTACTGATATGGATTAGTCTGGCATTAATTAAGCTTCCGTTTCACTCCATAAATTTGGCAGTTTTTTAAGATAAATCTCAGAAGCCAGAAATAAACATGCTACTCTCATGTTCTCCTATGAAAACATTTTTATCTATATTTCTTAATAAGCGGCATGTTTTGTTGCAGGAATCGATGTTTACATGTATCTAAATACGAAATTAGTGATCTAATCCCTCATGTCAGATTTTATTTGCCTCGAAGGATATGTGATTATCTATCCCAGGCATAGTTGCGTGGGGTTTATCCGTAATTTTTTTTAACTAAATAGACTAAATTAACTCCGATGGGGAGTGAAATTACTGAATCCCCCCGTACAAGTTTTACATGTGTCTGACAAGCTGAGTGCCTGCAGACGGTGGAATGGCAGGTCATCGGCCAGGGTCTGAGGGATTTTCAATTTTGGTCTTTTCACTCTTTGGACCTCAGGTAGTCAAGTCCAATGAGGTTATTTTAGGCGTTCAGGAGAGGAGGAAGCCGTTGTTCGTAAATTAGACAAAAACGGAGGTATGAGTTCGTAATTACCAATTAATTGATTCATTTCATTATTCTATTAAAAAACTCAATTTATGTCATTATGGTATCTGCAACAGCAATACCACCCCTAAAAGCCGTCAAAAAAAGGTCTCAGCTGCTTTGCAAATTGCACCAAGCTAAAGTTAAATAAACAAGAATAAGCTTGACAAAGCAAGCAATTCATTTTCTGGTTTGTAAAGGTATTCCCACCTATCTTTCCCCGTCATTTTCCTCGTTTTATAATATTGATGAAGATTAATGATTAACGATGATATAGTATGAAACAACCAGAACTCTTTATTCTCCGTTTTTGCTAAAACCTGCCGAGTCGCTTCTGTTCATCCCGTTGGATTCCCCCCCCCCTCCAATCTCTTCTCCCATTCTTTGTGTGTTCTGCCTCCCTTTGTATCTAAAGTGTCTTTGTTTTCGCATGTTTCTCTTTGCCGTGGCATCAAAGATTAAAGCTCTTCAGTACCGAGTCCCATATTGCTGATAGCAGAGCAAGCTGTTTCTGGCCTGGGTATTTCTGAAGTTTGTCCTCAGCAGGATCAGGTCGTGGTTTGGTCTCAACAAGAGTCTCAGACTAACTGGGAAGCTGATAAGATGTAAGATTTCCCTTTTTTTCAATGTTCATCCATTTTAGTTGGGACTGTATGGCACATCAACATGTTTGTTCACCCTCAAATGAGCGTCTCCTCTTTGTTCTCTTTCTGTATCGATTCTTCTTCTCTGATTTTTGGGCTCCAATGTTTTTGGGCATCTTATTCAAGCTCTGTTCTGTATACCCCTTGTTTGTATGTGTGTTGTATCTTATTAATGGCTGCGAGAATGTATTTTGCTTTATCTTAGGGTCACACTTCAACAGTTTAAGGGGTTTACGTTCAAATGAATTATCACCGGGCTCATCGGGGTCAATTTATGGCGTACTTACATTTCTGACGCTGGAAAGATTCAATCTTTCTCTCTCCAATTAAAGATACGACTTGTTACCGTGCTTTGAAATTTCAGGTTAGACGTTTACATACACGATTACTTAGTAAAGAGGGATTTGAAGGCTACTGCTAAAGCTTTTCAAGCTGAAGGAAAAGTATCATCCGATCCTGTCGGTGAGTTACATGGAAATAGAACTCTAGCCAGAAAAAGGCCCGGCTTGGATGTGGTCTTTTCTTTTTTATTTTTTAGTTTATGTGTAGTAGCATTGCATCAATTTCTTTTCCCTTAATATTGAAAATGGGTTTGCAGCTATTGATGCTCCAGGGTTTTCTCTTCGAGTGGTGGTCTGTTTTTTGGGATATATTTATCGCTCGGACTAATGAGAAGCACTCAGAGGTTGCTGCATCTTATATCGAGGTTTTTTTGGAAATATTTTATGATGTTCTCATTAATATCTTTCTTGAGGTTATATTTCTTTAGCATGCCGGTGCTTGTATATTGACGGAGAAGATATGGAATTTTGATTGGTTCATTTCATATTTTGGAGTTAAATGCAAGGATACATTTCCATGTATTCCATAGGGAACTTAATTTTTCACATGAATTACAGCTCTTCATTTTTCCCTACACTGATGGCTGATTTTGATTGCTGTTTCTTCCTATGTATAGTTTAGCTGATATGAACATTTGGATCTTTTTGGTTCATTCTTTTTATCAAATAATTCATTGAAATCTCAGATGTGCTTTTCTCTCGCTTCCTGGTTACTGACAAGGTGACTGGTTTTGGCTGGATGATTTAATACTGCTATTAAGCCTCAGGTCTTCATAGCTGTTCAATCGCCCATGAAATATGAATGTGACAAACTGTTATTTTGTTGCTCTGTTGTCGCAGGAATACAATTTGAAACCCATCCCTAAAACAATTGTTATTAACGAGACTTGATGCCTTCGAGGCATCTCAACCTATTATTACTTTCCTTTCGTGGTCTTTAATATATTTTTTTTTTAATTACTGATGAGCTAAAAGGCATGTAATGGAACATGAACCCCACATGCCACCGCAGAATTTGCACTATCCAGATGCAATTAGAAGAATCGTGTCTTGTTGAAGTGTTTGTGGTTCGTAGGTGATGGGGGTTACTTTTGCTCTTCATCAGATTTGATATATCTGTTTGAGTTGCTTGGAGAGAGTCGAGTGTTAGCTGTGTTGTTGTACTTGTGAATTGGTTCAAGTGGAACTGTACTCAACATTTTTGCTAGTCTTATGAAGTTGATGGCATTCTGGGATCTAAAGTTCTCCAATGATTGCTCGAGGAAAAAACTTGAGGCAGTGCTTGAAGCTAATGGCATGTAAATTGCATTTGCAGACACAGTTACTTAAGGGAAGGGAGCAGCAGCACCAGCAGCCACAACCCCAGCAGTCACAGCAGCAGCAGCACATGCAGATCCAACAGCTGCTGATGCAGAGGCATGCACAACAACAGCCGCCACTGCCGCAGGCAGCCCAGCAACAGCAGCCACCACCACAACAGCAGAGAAGGGATGGATCTCATGTCTTGAATGGCAGCACAAATGGGATAGTTGAGAACCCCTGATGCGGCAAAATCCTGGTACTGCAAATGCACTGGCCACAAAAATGTATGAGGAAAGGTTAAAATCGCCTCTTCAAAGGGATTCTTTGGATGAGGCAGCAATGAAGGTAAGGCGCATTCAGTTCTTTACATAATCGATTCTGCTATTATGATTTTGATTCATAGCTATAGTTTGGTTTGTCATACAGCAAAGATTTGGTGAGAACATGGGCCAACTTTTGGACCCAAGTCATGCTTCCTTATTGAAGTCAGCTGCAGCTTCTGGCCAGCCTTCAGGGTAATTTTTCTCTTAAATTACTCTGAGTGATGAAATATAAGAATTAATATATTTTGGAGAAACCTAGGCTGGTAGATTATTATTTTTGTTTTAGGAAGAAATGTTTTCTTGTGTTATTTTAATATGTTGTGTCCTTTGTGTTATTTTAATATTTTGTAAAAGGAAATCTGAAACCTAGCTTTATATGGACATGGTATTAAGGTTTCCTTTTGTGTTATTTTGTTAGAAGGGAAAACTGAACATTGGCCTTCTTTGGACAAGTGATTAAGATATCCTTAATAGGTAGGAAAGTTAGTTTAAATAGATTAGTCTGCATTTGTAATGGGACCCTTGATGAATGAAATATTATGATTGAATATTCAGATAGCTTCTCTCTTTCCCTCTGCGTTTCTGCCTCTTCCTCTCTTGTTCTCCCTATTCTGTTATTCACCTCTTCATTTCTCCCTTTCTGTTTCTGGTTTTCTCCACTCCCTCTTTCTTTCCAGCACTGTGCAAGTCTTTGTGAGTGTGTGTTACATCACCGGAGTCTTTAAAGTAATATGCCTTTTTAGTGCCTTGGACAAAGAGCGCATATATGCTTGATTATTGTGTGTATGAACGTAGAGCTAATTTACGTTTGATCTGAAACGACATTACTTCATTAGTATTTTTGTAGGGAAAATTAATAAATAAATTTTTTGGCTCCCATCTCGTTGCTCAGAGTTCTTTCCCCCTTTTCCTTGTCAGCGGAATAGATATACAATATTTCTTGTAAAATGGGTTAGCTATTTGTTGTGCTTGATTAGGAGAAATAATGGCAAAAGAGAGAAAAGTTGTTGGTTAGATTTTTATTATTATTATTATTATTATTATTATTATTATTATTGGTGAGATGTTAAGTTGAAGCTTTTGTAGAACTGTTGAAGGTTGTTTGGAGGCTTCCTACCCAACAGTAAGAATCTGACCTCTCCTGTGGGATAGTTAAAGGAATGTGTAAGTGATTTTTGATCTAGTAAGAATTATTTTAGCACCAAGCACTAGTTTTCCTTTGAAACGGAAAGGATGCATGAGCAACTTCTGAGAACAATTAAAAGGACTATTGGTGGATAGAATTGGCTGAAGAGCATGCTATTTGCTGCTACTTTGGCGAGTTAAAATCAGAAAATTGAGGCTTTGGTAAGAATGTTTGAGCCTAGTACGCCTTCCTATACTATGTATCTTGCAAAATTACAAGAAGCTTTTGTCCATGCTTGTCAAGGCCAGAACTTTAGTATTCTTGAAATCCCAGCCATTCTACAACAGCTTCTACCACTTTATTGAATCCAATATCTTGTAATAATCCCATCTTATCCACATACAGAAACCCATCCCCACCTACTCTCCTGAGCAATGACTTAGGAAATGATTGATAGGAAATTGTTAGTTAAAAACTATTAAGAGCTATTGAAGGCGGTTAAGAGGCTAACTACCTAACTGTAATAATAAAACTTCTGTCAGTATAATGTAATATGAAGGAGAGAAGTAGAGACTTGGTTAGCTTGAACCAATGATGCTATGAATGTTGAAGGAGGAAAAGCAGTAAAGTTAGCTTTAACAATTGAATCATATTCAGTATTCTTCTTTTTTCTTTTCCTCCTCCTCCTTTTTTGCCATAAAACTTGTCTTATGTGATATAAATTAGAGATACTTAGGAGTGTTTGGGTATGTTTTGAGTTCATAAGAGTTCCTTTGGTATTGAGAATATCAGTTTTCCTCTTAACTCTCACTGTTTCTTTGACTTGAATAATGAATAGTAATTTGCTATTTAAGTTATTGTCTTAGATTTCTGGTTTGATATTTTCTATAGCAGTGGATGTTGAATTTGTTAGCACATATATATATTTTTTAATTTCAGGCAAGTGTTGCACAGTGTCGGTGGTGGGATGTCTCAACAAGTTCAAGCTCGTAGTCCGCAATTACCAGGGTCTGCTCCGGTATGATATTGTTATTAGAGTGACCTTAGAACTTCTTCTTTTCTTACAGGGTTTCCTTGACTTGCCATTATGAATCAACCAGGATACAAAGAGCGAGATAAATCATGTTTTAAATCCTAGAGCTGCTGGTCCTGGAGCTGTTGGTCCTGAAGGATCATTGATAGGAATTCCTGGTAATCTTTTGTTGCATTCTTTCTTTGCTCCAATTGACTTGCATTAATCTACTTGAACTAATTAGTGAGCATGCGATGCTATTTGATCTGAAAATAATTTTCTCCTAGCATTACTCTTATTGATAGAAAATAAGGGAAGCATTATTGTAGGGAAAAAAGAGTTTTCTTTATGTTATTTTAATATTTTGTAAGAAGGAACATTTGAAACCTAGCTTTATATGGACATGATATTAAGGTTTCCCTTTGTGTTATTTTGTTAGAAGAGAAATCTCAACATTAGCTTTCTTTGGACAAGTGATTAAAATTTCCTTAATAGGTAGGTAGGAAAGTTAGTTTAAATAGACTAGCTTGCATTTGTATTAGAGCACACTTGATGAATGAAATATTGTGATTGAGTTTGTGAATCCCTTCCTCTCTCTCTGTGCGTTTATCTCCCTCCCTTACTCCCCCACTACTTTATTCTTCATCGCCTTCATTTCTCCCTTTCTGTTTCTGGTTCTCTACTCCTTCTTTTTGTCTAGCGCTGTGTATGAATGTATTACATTAGCTTGGTATCAAAGGTAGTGTTTCTACCTTCCGTGGTTGTTTCTGTCACTTGAAAATCATAGAAAACTTGCTTGAAAACCTCTAAAATCCTTTGTTTTCACGTTGCCTGCCCAGAAACCCCACTTCATGACATCAAATTGCTGAAAAACCACCACCACCATGTTCAAGAAGAGGAATCCAGTCAGAACCTGAAGTCTCGCCTCATTCTTTAGCCGCATGTGCCTCCACACGTTAGTGGAGCATCCTGTGTGTGGTCATCATGTGCCCCACACATCGGTGAAATCTCTTGCGCATGACTTCACGTGCCAATGTGAACAATGTCTAGAATATGATTTTTTTGCATTTTATGTTGCTTTCAAGGAGTTTTCTATAGTTTGAGCAACTTGAGGGTCCAAAATTATCATTTAATGCACTATTTGGGATAAAAGTACAACTTTTAGGCTTTTAAAGCCTTGTTAGTAAAGTCATTGACCCTCTCATTTAGCTAATTTATATGGTTGTTAGTAGGAGGTTGCTCTACCTTTTATGCTTGGTTTGAAATCTTTTGTTTGGTCCTTTTTGAGTATGCAATTTAAATTTTTATTTTAAGTTGTGTTTAGATTAATATTCTAGGAAAAAATATTTAGTTGATCATTATTATTGTTAATTTATAGCTCTTGATAGCATTATTTCCATCCTAGGATGCACTTACCTCACACATAATTTGGCCCTATACTTGGGTCAAGAAATTAGCCTAGATTAGTGGAAGTTTTTAATGGTTTTCGTATGATCTTATAGACTTTTGAAGGTTACTGTGCACATTTCACTCAGGTGGTTACCTTTTTTATCATACAATCCCTGAGGAACTTTGAATTTCCAGAGGATTAATTTTGTTAAAAAGGGAATTCACCTTTTTAAGTGAGGGCAACTTGGGATCCATTTCCTTAAGGTTTCTAGAACCACCTTAAACCTTGCACTTTAAAACACCGCTCTTGTCATTGTATGACTGCTTGTGATTTATATGACAAGCAAGCCTTACTAGAATAAGAAATTGCCACCCTTAATCCATCGTGGCCAATAACTTCCAAATCATCCAAAATCACCTTGAGGAATGTGAGAGGCCTCGAAGGGCATATGTGGAATTTAGCTGCAATACATACATCATACAGGAAATGTAATTGAAGGGTGGTTAGAGAGACCAATATTTAGAGGAGAGCCAAGTTTTAGGAATGAGAGGTCCCCTGCCCTTAATCAACCTAGGGTACTCCTTTTATGATTGGTCATTCTTTTGGAACTATGGTGGAACACATGGTAGATCCTTTCCTCATGAGCTTATCAATCATCAATTTGAAGATTTAGATGATACTTGGGATGGTCAAGACCATGACGAACATCATCATGGACCACCTTAGCTAGTTCATGAGAATGGTAGAGAAAACTTTAGAAGGGCGCATGCTAATGACATCACCAAAAAGGTAAGGTTGAGGCCCTTGAATTTGATGGAAGATTGAACACTGGTGTTTTCTTAGATTGTTTAGCTGGCATAAAAGACTACTTTGATAGGTATGACATGGGTGATACCCAATGAGTTCGATTTGCAAAGATGAAGCTTGTGAATTCTATGAGAAAGTACTGCAAAATGTTCAAAAGAACAATGAGCGATAGGGATATCCTTCGATTGAGGTATGAGATGAAATGAAGACAAAGCTGAAAGAGAAATATTTGTAGATTCATTACAAGAGTCAATTTTATGACAAGTACCTTAACCTGAAGCAAGTTTCCACTTCTTCTAAGTATTTATTTTGTTTTGATGACCTTATGATTAGAAGTGACATGTGTGAAGAGGAATGGTGCATAATCACTAGGTTTGTTAATGGACTTAAACTGTATATACAAAAGGAGTTCAAGCGGAACTTCCTTAAGTCTCTTGAGAAAGCTTAACATAAGACCTTGGAAGTAGAGTCTCTGTTGCAAGAGACGCTTGACATAAGACCTTGGAAGCAGAATCTCTGTTGCAATACTCTTTTGTTAGGTGTATCGACTTGCAGAGCACTCAATTTTGATAGACACAAAGTTCAAACCTGATGGAGCGAATGTTTGGAGCACCTAAATCTTGGCCTAATTCGTTTGTTGGGCTTGGTCAAACAACTAGGTTTAAGAGTAATACTACTAACCCTGTCAAGGCTTCCTGCCCTAGTAATTCTCTTGTTGAGTATTTTCGTTGTCACTTCAAGGGTCACATTACTTCAAAGTGCTAACGAGCTCTAATTATTGAGGATGAGGAGAATGATGCTAATGCCGACATAGTTGTGGAACTAGTTGTTCAGATGTTGATGAGGACATCGTAATTGATGAACATAGGTGTGAGACATGTCGAGTTGGAGTTATGCAATGCATTTTGTCAGTCCCTCTGCCTAGAGATTCATGGAAGCGAACTAGTATTTTCTATACCTTTGTGAAGTGTGGGGGTAAATTTTGCAAGTTGGTGATTAATAGTGGGAGCTTAAGAAATGTGATTTCTTGTGGAGGGGGAGCCTGACTTGGTCTCAAGACATAACCTCACCCCGAACCTTTTTGAGTTGTGTGGGTCAACAAAACTTATTTACTAGTCACTCAACAATTTCACATTCCTCAGCAACTAATTGACTATAGAAAAGAGGTTTTTTGTGATGTTCTCTTGATGGATGTTTGCTCACATTTTGCTAGGTTGACTGTGGCTTTATGATCAGAGTGTCATCAGTCATGGTCGGGATAATACATATACATTTAAGTATAACCGCAAGACAATCCTTCTACGTCCTGCTAAGCTTGACACTAATAGTAGACAATCAAGTAAATTGAAAGGTACAAAGCCTAAAAGCCAAAGGTTTCACCTTTTAATAGATAAACAATTTGTGCGAGAAGGTAGAGACTGTGTACTTGTGCTTGCTCTAGTGTCTAAGATCTTGCAACGAATTGCTTCAGTTATAGCTATGGAAATGCCTAGGGAAGTGCAATAGCTCTTAAGAAAATTTCATGAGATTTCCTTAGATGAGCTTCTATCTAAGCTTCCACTAATGAGGGATATCCTACATGTGATTGATTTTACTTCGAGTTCACAACTCTTTAACGTACCACACTACAGGATGAATCCAAAAGATAGGGAAGACCAAATTGACTTACCTTTAATGGGCCCTTCCTTTGTTGCTTGGTTCGCTAGAAGGGTTGTTCAAATGAAGATGTCATCTTGATCTCAAAAACTAAGCTTAGACAACTTGATCTTGCCCTGCTAGATCCTTATAAACTATCTACCTCTCCAGAGGAGAGCCCATTGAAGAAAGGTGGAATTGATAGAAAATATGGGAAGCATTATTCTTGGAAAAAATAAGTTTTCTTTATGTTATTGTGGCAATATTTAATATTTATTGTAAATATTATCTATAGTCTTTATTAGTGGTTATTAGGCATTATTAACAATTATTAGTATTTATTCTCCTTGTTGTATATATAGTCAGTATGTATCTCCGTTTTGATTCAATAGAAATATCATTTTCTCCCAAATTCCACATGGTATTAGAGCATAGGGAGAGGGTGGGGGAGTGTGTGAAAAAAGAGAGGAGGGAATTAGGGTTTAAGCACATGGGATCCAGAGTAGTAGTGTAAGGATGAACGTGAGTCTTAGCAAGGAGGATGATTTGGATCTCATTGTCTACGGTAGGACCTCTGGCAATCTTCGATCGGCTTAAACCTAAAATGCCGTTGTCATTGGCAGTGCATGTGACTCACATGAGCTAAAGCTCTGTCCAGCATCAGAGAGTGCAGGGTGGTGCGTGAAGGGTCCATGTTGATAGCGACCCCTTCCTCCCTCTATGGTGTGGCATTTCCGGCATGATTCCGGCATTCCCCAAGTTTAGGGATTCTTTTTCCAATACTTCTTTGTCACAAGCTACTTGTTTTGTTTTGCAGCTCTGTGTGCATGTCGTCTTTGTGTGTAGGGTTGTGGTTTCTGACTGTTCTCTATTATGAGAATATTTTTAGGATTGTAGGGGTACTAATGTGGGTCCTCCTAACATTGTCTCCATGCATAACCAGAACTAAAGTTCAAGTCTTAGTTGCAAAAAGGGGAAGTTTTCTTCATGCATTAAAGACATCCCGAGATTCCATTATGTGGATTGTTGACTCAAGGTATCTGATCATATGACTAGTTGTTATCAGTGGTTTAGCACTTACATTCCGTGTGTTGGAAATGTTGAAGTGAAGATTGTAGATGGTTCCTTAGCATTATAGCAGGAAAAGGGGGTAGTCGAATTTCAGATTTTGTAATGTTGGAATTTGTACTTCACTTGCCTAAACTTGAGTGTAATTGCTTTCAATCAGTCAATTGACCAAGCAGTCAAATTGTTATGCTAAATTTCTCCCATCCCATTGTGTGTTTTAGGACCTATCATTTAGAGTGACAATCGGAAATGTTAAGGAGTATGGGGGGCTCTACTATTTCGAATTCTCTACTCGAGTGGGTAACTCATCGATTGTTGGTGACTCTGTATCTACCTCTAAAGTTAATACTTTTATGTTGTGGCATAAAAGGATGGGTCAGCTTAATTTTTATTACCTTAAACAATTGTTTCCAACCTTTTGTCCAAACTTGAATGTCAATGACATTTATTGTGAAAAGTGTGTACTTGCCAAACACCACAGAACATCCTTTCCGAGAGCCACATGTACACCCAATAAACCTTTCACAACCATTCATATTGACTTGTGGGCATCTTCTCGTACTCCCAACCGTACTAAAACGTGGTTTATTTCCTTCATTGATGATCATACTCGTGTTTGTTGGGTCTATCTTTTAAGAAACAAGTCTAAGGCACATTCATTAATTTCTTCAACATGATGAGAACCCAGTTCAACGCCACTATTCAAGTGTTCCATATCAATAATGGCATTGAGTACTTTAATCAATATTTGAGTACTTTCCTCCAAATGCATGGTATTGCCCATGCTAGTTCTTGTGCCCATACACCTCAACAAAATGGGGTTGCTGAAAGAAAAAATAGCCATATACTTGACGTTGCTAGAGCACTTTTGTTTACTTGCAATGCACCTAAATTTTATTGGGGGATGTTATTTTAACCGCAACCTACCTAATCAACTGTATGCCTAGTCGAATTTTATTCTTTGAAACTCCTCTCCATAAATTGAAAATTGTTTTTTCAACATTACATATTGAAACTTATCTTCCACTTCGTGTGTT